TGGGACTGGGAGGAGATGAGGGAGGGGGCTACAGTGGGGATACAAAGTGAATAAATTGTAATTAATTAATTAAAAAAGAAAATACAAATTAAGAACATGATACAGGATTAGTATCAGTACACAGCCATTAGAGAAGCTAAAATGAAAACTAACAATAATGTTGATAAAAACTGAGAGAAATTTAATCTCTCATACATTACTGATAGGAACATAAAACATAAACTAAACACACATTTATGGTATGTAAAACAATACTTTTAGTGATTACATTTCTGGGCATTTCTCTCAGTCACACACACACACACACACACACACACACACACACACACACACACACAAACTGTCGATGACTGTTCACAGTATGTTATAACAGCCAAAAGCTAGAAACAAAAATGTTCAATAGATGACTGATTATAAACAAATACCGGGACATCCATTCACAGGATACTATTTGGCAAAAAAAAGAAGAAACAAACTGCATACACATGCAAAAATGTGGATGACTCTCAGAAGCATAATGCTGAGTGACAAAAGCCAATCCCAATAGGTCATATACTTTAAGTTTCCATTCACGTAACAATGCATAAAATTTATAATAGTATTGAGCAGGAAAAAGAGGTAAGTCGTTGTCAGCAAAAATTAAGGATGGGATTGGGGTGACTTTAAAGATGTAACATGAAGGAATTCATGATAATGGATAGTTTTGTATCTTTTAACAACAGTGGTTACAAAATGATATAAACCTATCCACATTCTATACCAATATCCTGGTTCTTTAACTATATAAAAATGCAACGAATTGGGTAACTTGAGTTAGTTATACACATGACCTCTCTGCAACTTCCTATAAACCTATACTTATTTCAAAAAATAAAAATAAATACAAAACAATTTCAAAGTCTCAAGAACATGGGAACTATGTTGAAGAGGTGAGGTTAAACAGGAAAGACCATGGTACAGAACAAAGAGAGCTAAATTTGTTCACTTCCTCCACAGTTCAATTAATCATTAAGTGCCTTGTATTTACAAGAGGAAAAAAAATAAAAAAACAAAAGCTCTAATTATGGGATAAAGGAGAAAAAAAAAGGACTAACACTCAAAACTGATTTAATTTACTCTCCAAGAAATTACTGCAGAGTAATTATTAAAGCGATCTGCAAAGCTATGCTCTTCTGCCATTTTTTTTCTAGCTAGTTATAACTCATTCTTGAACTCTCTGCTCAGTGTCTTTATGAAAACTTTCCATGATTCTGGGTTGTTATTGCACTAAAATCTCTAAAGGTCACAGATAGGAAAGCTCACCACCGCATTCCCTAACTTAATGGCATATCTGGTCAATGTCAGAAGCTCAAAACACATTACAGAAAACAAGCTACACAGTATTTTTGGAGACAGAAGCAAGACAAAAAAAAATGTAAGGTATTTATTTTGTATGTGTGTTTTTGCTTGCACGTATGTCTATGTACCATGTGCATGCATCATGTCCACGGAGGTCAGAAGAGGGTGCCAGACCTCCTGGAACTGGAGTTGTGAGCTACCACTTAGGTGCTGGAAACCAAATCTATATCCTTTTCAATAACAAGTGATTTTAACTTGAGCCATCTCTTCAGCCCCAACAAGAGGACCTTGAATTCAAGCCAGTCTAAGTTTTACAATGAGACTGGGTCTCAAAAAAAAAAAAAAAAGGCAAACAGCAACAACAAAAGGGTATACAAAACTTCAATTACAAACAAAAGATTAGACAATGTCACTGGTGGAAGAATTAATTACCAAATTCAACTTAAGAAATCCACTTGTATGGAATGGATGATTTGTATGGAATATAAACAACGCCGAAGTTCAAAACTATATGCGGACACCAACTCTTCCAAAGTCAGAGCCCACTAAGAATTTAGAGGGGTGGTCCTCTAAAGTGTTCTTTATGAAAATTGATGTAGAAGTAGACTTGAACTGAGGCAGGAATTGAAAAGCAGGATGTAGTAGGGCGAATCTGTAGTTCAGCTACTCTGTAGGCTGAGGCAGGAGGGTCACTTGAGTTTGGGGTTTTTTTTGTTTTGTTTTGTTTTTAAGTTCAAGATCAGCAACGTTTCGACACCACCTCAAAAAATAATGAAGGGCTGGCAGAATAACACCACCAGGCCTAATAGCCTGAAACCAAGCCCCTGGGCCCGCACGATGGGAGGAGAGAACCAACTCCCTCAAGTTGCCTCTGACTTTCATATACACTCTGTAGCAAACATGCACCTTACCGCCACATATAAAAAGATACAGACACATGATAAGTAAACATAATAATAACAATTAAAAGGACATTGTGACAGTGAATATACAAAGCAATACTGTCCTGAAAGAACATCATCGTTCAGAAAGATGTGAGCAGCACTAATAAAAAGAAACACAACTGATTCTACAGAAGAATGAGTTAAAGAAGAGCAAAAGATGATTCAGGGAAGTTTAACAGCGTGATTAGTGACAGACAGTATTGAACTAGGAAGTCATGACTACGTCCTCTTAGGAAAAAGAACATGCTTTGTTAGATGTTATGCATGACATCCACACAAAGATTTAAGACTAGATGTAGATGGAAAGTCAAGATGATAACACAGATGTGTGAACTGAGCAGTCAAGGTTAGGCTAGCAATTGAGGTCTTCCCGTTAGTCACCTTCAGCTATCGCACTGTAGAGTCACCAGGACTACGAGCTCCATCACAGCATTCTGATATACCCCTGCGCTTGCTAAAGTACACAACACAGGGCTTTGTACTTCACTGATACATAGTAAGTAGCTTATTAAAGGGATTTCCCCTAAGCGTGTGTGCATGTGGATGTCAGAGGTCAATGTCTGGTGTCCTCCTCAGTTTCTAACCTACTTTCTAAAACAGGGCCTCTGCACCTGAAGCCGCTGTTCCGACTAGCCCAACTGGCCAGAAAGCCTCCAGGATCCATCTCCCAGTGCTGACATTATAGACATGCACTGCCACCCCTGGCTTTTCATGTAGGTACCGGGGTCCTCACTCCAGTCCTCATGCCTATGAAGCAAGCATTTCACCCACTGAGCCATTTCCTCAGCTCCCAAAAACTTCTAACTACTAACTGATATTAAAGTGGTGCTTTAGTTATCTGTTCCCTTTAAACTGGCAAGATGGGCAAGTTCCAGACATTTGCAATCATTTGTCCAAAGCGCTGCCTTTCTAAGGCCCTAATGCTGAAGAACTGGAGAACTAGACTTCACAGCTAGTTTATGCTCCCAGATAAGACTAGGGCTAAAGCAAACTCTTAACTCAAAAATGGAAGATATTCTTCTAGAAGTTTCTGTGCGAAATAAACAGAACATAATCATTTACTAGGAAAGTGGGACAAATGAAGTTTTCAACTATATACAGTATACAAGCTGATAATGTACAGAAAGTAAAGAAGCAGGTGAGGCCAGTGCTGTATTTTGGAACAGCATTTTCCAAGCACGTCTAAGGGCTGGGTTCAATCACCAGAGGTGGTGGTTGGGGGAGGGGAGACAGGACCAAACAATCGAAAGTTTTTCAAGTGAACTAAAGGATAACTGAAATCTAGATGACATAATCAAAAGGGAATCGAACAGTTCTGAAACATTCTTTTTGCCTTCTAATATGCAAGAAGTCATTGTTCTATTCTCTCCTCCAAAACATTCATGAACGTCATGAAATAAAATAATGGGCTAATGTGTTCAATAATTGGGCAAACAGTACTTCTCTATTTGCAGCTTAAGTAAACAGTTTATTAAAATGGATCCAGGGATAGATTTGTTGACTGCCTCCCCAAATTACATTTTGCACTGTATTGTAACTGCATTTTTTTTTTCTGGGTAGCAGCAGCCTGCTCCATGGCTCTCACCCTGAATCGGAGTCATGTACCAGATGCCTTTGGACATGTGTGTTTGTGTGAGAGGTCAGAGAAAAGAAACCGGTTGGAGTTGCTTGCAAGACTGTAGGAATCTGACAAGTCATCTATAATCCAATTACCATCTTAGTAGGTCTTCACAGGTCTAAAAGATGATCAATCATTCTTCGCCTGCCTACTTCTTTAATTCCAACGAGAAATGAGTCATTGGTGAGCTCTATTTGAAGACCAACTGCTAAAGACTATTGTAAAACCCTCCAAAGTTACCTCGCAGCAACTTTCATTCTTATTCATTTCATTCCTGGTCCTGTTCTTTTAAGGACAATTGAGTGCACGGTGAAAGTCGCCTTCTTGGGCTTTAGTTGTTGTTCTTTTTAATTTAAGAAGAAAAAAGTGGTATTACTTCTAGGCATATCAATACATTCCCGTTTTTCAATAATGGGGAAACCTAATCTCTTTTTATTACCACCTTTTTGGTCCCTCCTTCTAAAATGTTTTGCTCTCCTTAAAGAAAAACCGAAAACCGGGCAGTAGAGACTTAAGTTTCTCTAGTCTCAGAGCCGTGGCCTCAGCAGCAGAACAGAGCAAAGGGGGTTAAATAACCACATACAATATAGCAAGTGTTGCAGCTTATACGAAAACCCCCCGCTGCCAAGAAGCAAGGAGCCCTGGCAAGTGCCCGGGTGTAGAGACGTGACAGAAGACACACAGCCCTAGCCTGGCAGCTCTGTGCTGTGGCAGCTGAAGAGCTCGCACCTCTTCTAGCCACAGCCGGGGGGGAGTGGAGCGGAGTGGACGCTGGGTCCCAGGCCCGCCCTGAACCTCGGCAGGCAGTGAGCTTGATCCCGAGAACCAACCGCGGAGAGAGGAAGGTAGGGGAAACGCTCCGCCAAACCCAAGCCGCGCCCAGGGGCCGGCTGCCGGGAGCCCGACCTCCCCGCCGGCCGGACGCGGTCCTGGGAAGCCGCACCGGTGGGAACTCGCGAGCAGAAGACGCCTCCGACTCGGCCCGGGGAGCGTGCATCCCACCTGAGGCCACCGTAGGAGGTGGTGCTCGGGAGGCCCACGGCGCCAGGGTCCTGCTGTGGGCAGGACCGTGTGTGCCCGGCGCCGGGAGGGTCACTCACCGAGAGGACGCTCATGCGGATTGGGGTCTCCAACAGGCACGCCATCTTGAGCCTTCCCACCCGGCGGCTGCCGGCGCCGGCGCGCGGCCGGCACTTTCGACAGCCACCTACGGGGCGAGCAGCCGGAGCCTCGGGAGAAAGCCAGGCAAGCTGCCCGGACCCGACCGCGCTCCGGGCGCCGCTCGGCCACCGAAGGGACGGGCGGAAGGACGAAGGATTGAGCCGCCGCACCGGCTCCCCGCTTACGAATCTTTCTCTGAGAAACAGCAGCTACTCCCGGCTGGGGTCAGAGGTGGGCGCGGGCAGCGGCCTCCGCATGCGCAGAGGCCCGCCTGCCCCACCTTCCGCTGGCTGGGGGCGGAGCCCTAGTTTGGCCGGGAGAGCTGTCGGTGCTCTCAATTTTCGGTTTACAGGTTCGCCTTCCTAACCGCTAGTAGGTGGAGTTACCTACGTAGTTGGAAGTTCGCTTTCACATTCATTATCTCGCTCTGCACCAAACTCCTGGTGTCAGTATTATCTCAGTCTTAAAACTGGAGAAACTGCTCTCAAATCCAGGTCGTAGACCTGCAATTAAGAAAAGTCGTCTTTTCGCGCTTCAACGCTCAAGTATGACCTGCTTTATTTAGCATTGTTTGCCCGGCCCACTTATTCTGCTATAGTGGTAAGAATGGGCTCTCTAGAGCCAAGACGCCCGGTTTAATTCTTGCCGCTTTACTTAGCACCATAATCTCGGTCGGGTTGCTTAGTCTCCTTATGTTTCAGTTCTCCCGACTGTAAAATAAGGGCCAATGAGAATAAATAAACCAAAAAAACAACATGCCTAAACTGTGGAAAGCATTACACTATGTGTTAGCATTTTTCCAGCCTCTACATCAAATGGGAGGGAGGGGGGAATTAGTAGCTATCTGAATATGTCATACTAAAATACTCAGATTAGTGAAGCCATCCCTAATTCAGGTTGTTACCTCACTTCCGAGTGCTCTTGAAGTGAAAGGGTATCTTTTTCATCGTTTCTCATTTCCTTCTGTACTTTAGTGTCTAAATTCATTGTCTCATCTCTCACCCTTGTTTATAAGTCTGCTACAAAAAAAAGATTGCACTTCTGGAAGGCTGGAAGTTTAAGAGAACCTTCAAGCTGTAACAGTATATCCTAAACAGTCTTTGTCAGTCTTCACCCAGGAATTATTATTCATTCAATAATTTTGTTTAAAGTCAGTATCAACCCATTTAAAAATTTTACCTTGTCTTAAATCATAGTCTGTGAAATTAAATTTGTTGTGTTCTTTTTCATTCTAGTACACATTGGCATTCAAAAATACAAACATTTAAGTGTCCATTCATGTAGCACCTAAAATTGCATCCTAGTATGCCTGCTACAACCAGGCAGATTGTAACTCTGCACATAGCACACAAAAGCACTGGCGATTTTTGATAGTCTGTAGCTATGTGTGATCTATACCTTACCAATGAACTCCATCAATACAGCTTCCAAGAAACTCCTCCCCCAAGTATGAGATAGGAGACTTCTCCCCACCCCTATATATTTTCTTTAAAATTATTTTACATTTATTTATTTTGTGTGTGTGCATGTGTGCTGGCCAGAGGACAACCTGGGAAGCTGGTTCTCTCCTTTCATCCATGGTTCCAGAGATCAGAGTCAGACCATCAGGTTTAGTGGCAAGAGGTTGCACATATTGAAGCTTCTCCCTTAACTTCAGACATCAGTTGATTCTTCCTATAACATAATATCTCTAACAGTATTTTGCTATATATTGTTATACATATTGATTATAGAGGTTTGGGGGAAGTGAATTTACTTGTACTAGTCAATTCAGGAAGACTCCAAAAACGTTATCTTCTTGGTCTTTTATCTTGATGTCTAATATAGGCATATACTAAATATTTGTTGAATAAACATTTTTGGCTTCATTTCATCCTGGAACAATATATGAGTACAGGCAGTTTATTTTGGAAGTATTCCCAGGGAACAAGTTGGTGACTCTAAAAGAGAAAAGAAAAAAAATATATAATAATCTGCACTTGAGATCATTGTATATTCTTCAAACACCTCAGAGAAACAGCAGATGTCCTACCGCTGTGTTAGTTGAGAATTTCCCCCTAAGCTATTAACTTTCTGCCTTTCTGGCCTGTCTCTTTCTGTGCTGCCCCCAACCCTTTGTGTGTGTGTATGTGTGTGTGTGAATCCTGAGCTACCCAGCTGAGATGATCTATTGCAAGCTGGCAGAGCATAATGCCCAAGATTTCGGTTGCTTGGCTCAGAGGATAGTCACCCACAACACTCCCTCACCACTTGTTAAGTGCTTATATTTACTCATGGACCGGCCTTGTGAGACACTTCTGTGCTGTCTCCAGCACTTCATGAGCCCTCCCTCCCCTTCTTAAGGGAAGGTGAGTGGGCACACTTTTGTGAGGGTCACCTGTGGGTAACTGAGGCTTTGGTAGTTTTAAGATGGGGGGGGAGGCGCTTGGTAGCCCAGAGGATCATGTTTCAGAACCTCTGCAAACAAGAATAACACTTCTCCCTGTATCCAAAAAAAGTAGTAGTTGTCTTAGTTGAGTCTCTATTGCTGCAATTAAACACCATGACCAAGGTAACTTGAGGAAAGGCTTATTTTGGCTTAAACTTTCATATCACTGCTCATCACTGAAGGAAGAAGCCAGTCAAACAGGGAAGGAACCTGGAGGCAGGAGCTCATGCAGAGGCCATGGAGGAGTGCTGCTTACTGGCTTGTTTCCTCTGGCTTGCTCAGCCTGCTTTCTCATAGAAGCCAGGACCACAATGGGATGGGCCCACCCCCATCAATCACTAATTTTAAAAAATGCTTTGCAGCTGGATTTTATGGAGCCATTTTCTCGGTTGAGGTTCCCTTCTTTTAGATAACTCTGGCTTGTGTGTCAAGTTGGCACAAGACTAGCCAGCACAATAATAAAGAGTTTAATGCAGAAAAATAGAAATATAGAGTAAATAGCCAGAAGTAAATCTGAAAAGTCTTTGTAGGTATCTATATTAGAACTTCCACGTGGAATAACTATATTGTATTAGTCAAGGCTCTGTACAGTAGCAGAGCTTATAGTACTTATGGAATGAATCTCTATATATATATAGAAAGGGGATTTATTAGAATGACTTACAGGCTGTGGGTCAAGCATACAGGGGAGGGGCAACAGGAGATGGTAATGAGGGTGATGAATGTGATCTAAATACATTATATACACGTATGAAATATAATGAAATCCACTGTGACCTGCATGGCTTTAGGGATCTTCCTAGCTGGGTGATGGGGAAGAAAGGACTGACACACTTACCGAATGGATCAGGTGGGCCATGCTCTGATGGAAATGCACCAGCAGGTAGCCATCTCGGCCTATATAGTGAGACTCTGCCTACAAACCAAAAAACAGAGAGGAGAGACCAAGACAGGGAGGCAGAGATGGACTGTGGAGACCAGGGATTTGTGGTTCCTTCCTGGAAACAGCAGCTAGTGGTACCTGGAGCTACTGGGATGATACCACCCTAAGCCCCATTAGCAGATGGGAGGAAGTAAAAGACTAGAGGAAGCTCCACCATTTGAGAGTTCACTAGCTTGTCAAAAAAGGGGTAAGCCCAGTGTGGTGCTGCCCGCTTATCACCCCAGCAACTGAGGCAGTGAAGGCAAGGGGATTGGACTAGTCTGGGACTACATTGCCAGACTCTCCCAAAACAAAAAACATGTGTTGGGTTCTGAGGGTAGATAACAACATTGCCTTGGTTTCCTTCTAGTAATTAGAATTGGAAATTAAAGCTCATAAGCTGGCATTGATACTAGTAGTCAAATGATAGAAGAATATAGACCTTACAGGAAGTTAGGTGTGTGTCTTAGCTTTTTATAAATATGTTCTTTCTAGTTCAACATATTGTTTGGAGATACATTGATATAAATTTTTATAAACTTTTGTTTGTTTATTTATTTCTTTATTTTGAGGCAGGGTTTTTCTGTGTAGCTTTGACTGTCCTGGACTTGCTTTGTAGACTAGGCTGGCCTGAAACTCATAGTGATCCACCTGCCTCTGCCTCCCTGAGTGCTGGAATTAAAGGCATGTGCCACCATTCCTGGGTGACATTTGATGTTTTAAGGCATATTTCTAAAGGTTTATATACACAAAATGAAAAACATTACATGTAAAAACTTTAGAAGGCCCAGGCAGGCGTATCTCATGCCTTTAATTCTAGCACATGGGAGACAGAGACAGAATCTCTGAGTTTGAGGCCAGCCTGGTCTATAGGGCAAGATCCAGGAGAGCCAGGGGTACACAGAGAAACCTGTCTCAAAAAACAAAACACTAAAACAACAACAAGAAAATCTAAAAGAAAGTAATTGGTATAAATTAAAAATGAAAACTAGTCACTGAAAAGCTTGCTGTTTGTAATCCCAGCCACTTGGTAAATTGTGGAAGGAGAATTGTTTGAGCCTAGGAGTTCAAGGTTAGCCTGGAAATATGATGATATAATATGAATAAAAGGCAGTTGGGAGTTAAATTTAACAATACTGTCATATCACTTCATTTTTTCTGTTTCAAAATTCTAATGCAGAAGGATAATGTTAAAAGCTAATTTGAAAACATTCATTTTCTATCTTTTCAAGTTAAATATTACAAAAATTATGTCTTCCTGGTAAATTTGAAGAAACCATCCCCAAATCACAGGGGGGTGGGGGCGGCACAATGCTTTTGTATTGAAAGACCCCTGCCTCACCCTAAGTTAAACATAGCTAACGCCATTTTGTGAGACACCACTGTTTTATAAAACTCTGAAGGCCAGATGAGAAACTGGAAAATTACTGAGAAATCCTAGCTGTGTCACCCACTTGGGATATCTGTGGTCAGGCTGCCCCTGTTGAGTTAAAAACAACTTGTTGTGACTACCCTCATGGGATATCTGTCAGAGGTTGTTCCAGCTGAGATAGAAAAAAAACAAAATAACAGGTGGCCACGTTAAGGGGTGGTCAATCTTGGTGTCCCTGCCAAACTTTGACGCAAACCGTGGTCTCATGTAAACGTACCAATCAGCCCCCTGTAACCATGCTTCTTGCTTCTGTACCAGTGCTTCTGCTCTAAAACCCTATAAAAACCCCAGCTTCCTACCTAGGGGGCGCGGAAGTCTCCCAAATGACTTTTTGCCCCGGGTACCCGTGTATCAAAATAAAAGCCTCTTGCTGTTTGCATCCGAACGCCTGGGCTCGTTGATCCTTGGGCAGGGGTCTCTCAGACGAAAGATACCCTCTGGGGATCTTTCAGTATTTCATCTTCTTTAAAGACAATAAGCATGGTTTTATTTTCTCTATGCATTTGCAAAACACTTAGGACCAAGATAAAAAAAAAAACAAAAAACAACAACAACAAAAAAAAAAACACAACAACAGCAAAAAACAGAAGATCAATCTCCCCTGTGGAAATAGAAAGTTGGCTCCTACATCCAGATTTTTGTTGTCTGTATTGGTGTCCCACAAAATCTGACCATGTTCATGCTCTTACTGCTGTATCCTGAGTTTTCCTCACTCAAGAATTTAACAAAGCCATAGCCCTGGTGCTGGGTCAGTGGCCCTTTGGCATGTAGGTGCTTACACTGGCCTTGCCTAGAGGAAGAATCCCCACAGCAGTGCCTCACTGCCTTTCTTCTTTAGACATTCACATCCCCCACCCCGTCCCACCCCACAAGGTGGCATCCTAATTTTTTTGGACATCTATGCAGTAGCCACGTCTAACCAGCAGTGCCTCTCTGGCTTTCTTGTACTTAGTCTTTGACATCATTCCCGCCTTTCGATTATCCCTGGCCTGCTTACATGCCTTGCTTTATTTAGAATTGATTTTGTGCCTCTGTTCCTAGGATGTTCTCTGTGGTTTTTTGTTGTTGTTGTTGTTTGTTTGTTTGTTTGTTTGTTTTTTTAAGAAGCAGACAGCCGGCATGGCTGCATACACCTTTAATCCCAGAACTGGGCAATTTACAGAGGCAAGCAGATGTCCGAGAGGTCCAGGCTAGTCAGATCTACATAGTTCCAGGTCAGCCAGATATACACAGAAAGATCCTGTCCCAACAACAACAACAACAACAACAACAACAACAAAACAAACAAGAGCAGACACCAAAAGAAAAAGAGTACAGATAGATTTATAAATCTCTGAATAATCTTGAATAGATTGTCTTCTCTTTCTTTTTTTGAGACAGTTTCTTTGTTTTATTGCCTGTTTGTTTTCTTTTTTGGTTTTATGAGACAGGGTTTCTCCGTTTAATAGCCCTGGATGTCCTGAAATTCACTTTGTAGACCAGGCTGGCCCAAACTCCAGGAGATATGTATGCTTCTGCCACCGGAGTGCTGGGATTAAAGATGTTAGCTACCCTCAACTGCGCCCAGATTGTATTTACTTGATTGCATTTTTTTTTAGTTGTTTAAATGAATAATCCTCTGTGTCACCTTGACTAGATTTTCTTTTCTTGATTACTGATTCCCATCTTTGCCAGTCTTCATTGGTCAGTTGCCGATTTTTTTGCTCCAGAAGATTTGTTTTCCAGTTTTTCGAGACAAGAGTTTCTCTGTGTAGCCCTGTCTGTCCTGGACTTGTTTCATAGACCAGGTTGGCATCAAACTCAAGAGACCCGCCTGCTCCTTCCTCCTGAGTGTTAGCATTAAGGGTGTGTGCCACCACTTCCTGCATTTAGAAGTTTTTGAAATACTCAATTGCTTTAATTCATCTTGCACTATAGTTAAGCAAACAACAATTTGGTAGGAAAACAGCCATTACCCCTTAGTAGAAACTAATTTTAGAAATTCCAAGGGGTACAGTTTTAAAACTAATCAGCGTCAAAGTTGCATTAAAACTATCATGTTTAACGTCATCACGAAAAATAAAACTTTTTTACTTTCTAATTCATTGTTTTTTATTTATTTATTACAATTTATTCACTTTGTATCCCGGTGTGGCCCTCTCCCAATCCCTTCCCTTCCCTCCCTCCCTCTTCTCCTCCTATGCCCTTTCTAATTCATTCTTAAAGCGATTATTTTAGCCGGGAGAGGTTTGCCCAGGGAATTGCCTAATCGCTCCTGCTCACTTGCTTACCTTAATTTTACTAAATTAAATCCCTATTTCGGGAGTTCTTATTTCCTTTTCTAGTTTTAAACTACCAGGCGCATAAGATTGTTAGAACTCATAGTCTCACGAAGCCCGACAAGGTCTGCTCGGACAAGCTTAAAGTTTCTTCCCGGGGCTGCTCCGGCCCTTCCCGTTCCCTCTCTCGCGAGACCTGGAATCCGGAAGTTGCATAAAGGAATCTAAACTCTCCGCGGCTCTGGTAATGTTGGCGGGAGCAGGGAGGCCGCCTATCTGGTGTTCTCTACTGTTCGGCCCGGGCTGCAGGGGGTCGCGGGCGCTGCGGTGGAGTTCCGCTGCCCGTCGGCACGATGCGGGTGGCTGTGGCCGGCTGCTGCCACGGCGAGCTGGACAAGATCTACGAGACCCTGGCGCTGGCGGAGCGGCGCGGCCCGGGGCCGGTGGATCTCCTCCTGTGCTGCGGCGACTTCCAGGCGGTGCGCAACGAGGCCGACCTGCGCTGCATGGCCGTGCCGCCCAAGTACCGCCACATGCAGACCTTCTACAGGTGAGGGGCGCGCGGCCGGGCGTCCGAGTCCTCGGGGTGCACCCTGGCCGGCCAGCGGGAGCGGCCTCGCGTGAGGATCCGGTTCCGCCCGCCGCTGATCCGTAGGACCCGGCGCTTAGGAAATGTCCCTGTCCTCCTTTCTGTACACATCTGTATCTTCTTGCCAGGCATCGGGGTGAGGCCAACAGCTTTAGATACCCTCTTTGTAATTGCTAGAACTCTAGGATGAGTTAATTTAATGATCCAGTTCTTACTGGACCTGCTGTGAGCCACTCTGGGTTCTAGAAGCCCAGACTAGAGCCGTGCACTTCACAAAGTTCTTGTCCTCAATGAATGAAGCTCAAGATTTCATTCGTTCTTAAGGACAGGGATGGATGGATACTGGGGTCTGTTTGACAGGTGTTTTTTTTTTTTTTAACTCGGCCTTTTCCTACTGATCCTCTTGGTATTTCTACGGTGATTAGTTTGGTTCCTGACAACTTTACCGTTATGTTGTAGATACTACTCTGGAGAGAAAAAGGCCCCAGTTCTCACAATCTTCATTGGAGGAAACCATGAAGCCTCAAACCATTTGCAAGAGTTACCCTATGGTGGTTGGGTAGCACCAAATATTTACTACTTAGGTATGTGTTTATGTATACTTGTCAGAATTTGTACCGGTTGGGTAGCATCTAGAAGACATAGTGTTGGGGGAATGCCGTTGACTTAAATAATCATGAGAAAGTCGTTATAATCCAAACATTTGGTGACTCTGCCTCTTAGATTCTCATGGGTCTTTGCGCGCTCTCTCTCCCTCGCTAATTTATTTGTTGTAGAATATGAAAGATTGTCTTGTAGCTTTTCCTGCATTCTGGATTTAGCTGATTGGATTCCTTATGATATCATTTGAATTGTTCCTTTCATTCTCTACATTTTCCATCTTTTAAAGTTTGCAATCCTTCCAATCTGTTTACTTAAGTGATTGTTTCTGGAATAATTTTCAGGCTTTCTAGTGATGAAATCATAACTTCGGGAACTTTGTTTCTCCGTTTCATTACTGATTTGTCACTTTTCAACAACCTCCATATTATGAAAAGGTGAACTTTGGCTTGGCATGGTGGCACATGGCAGATCTCTAGGAGTTTGAGGCTAGCCTCATCTGCATAGTGAATTCTAGGAACCCCCAGAGCTACCTAGTGAGACCTGACTCGAACAAGTAAAAAGAAAGGATAACATTGTCAGATGAGGCAAAAATGAACTGTAGAAACTACAGGTTCTGTCGGCATTACGCCTGTTGACTTGATTCCTACTGTGCAAGTCCATTACAGGACATTTTCCTTCCTCTCTTCAAGGCCTGCCACCTAGTGCATGTTCAGCTAGGTGCCACAGTGTGCCTGTTTGCTTTTCACATCCTACCTCATTCATCCTTTTAGAGTCCACTTAGATTCTTGACTGATTAGCTCTAGGCCTTCTCTGCCCTGTGTATCATCAGCATATAAATGACAAATATTATCACAAATATTTTCAAATAATTTGAAGACTGCATGGAACTCCTGGCTTCTAAAAGGTGTATTCTCTTAGTGGATTCCTTCTGCCTAAAACATTTTACTGAACTGCATAATTTTTCAGGTTTGGCTGGTGTTGTAAAATACCGAGGTGTAAGGATTGGTGGGATCTCTGGCATCTTTAAATCTCATGACTATCGAAAAGGTATTGTTTTGAGGGAATTACTTCTATGTTTTAGAGTTTGCATGCCCTCGTAAAATAAATAAATTGATAGTTTGGCTTATTCAACAGATTTATTCTGTAAATGATATTATTCCTTTTTTATTAAAAGTATTTTATGCACAGGAAAATGTAGATACTCTATATCCTATCCATGTGTCCATGATATAGTTTTATCAAATAAGTATTTGCCAGTTTTGATTTTGATTTTTAAGAAATACAACAGTATATGTACAGTATTCCTCTTTCCCCTTCCAATAGCCAGGGAGTCACTGTTTCCAATTTGGTGTTTATCATTTACTTGGTTATTTCACATCATTGCTGAATACACAGGAGCTTCAGTGTGTTGAATAGTGTGTTTTACACTTTATAGAAATGTATCTCCTTGCTTGTGTCTTTTTGCAGCCTCCTTCCTGGTTGAACATGTTTTTTGAAATCTATGAGTTTACTTGTTATCTGTAATCTTTTCATTTGTGGATAGTATTTCATTGTTTAGACATAGCACAGTTACCTTTCATTCCACTGTATCTAACTGATTTTTAGTTAGTGGCTTAGATTCATATAGATTCTGCAAATTTCATGAATTAAATTGGCAGCTAAAACTTACATATGTATTGTAACTGTTAATTGAAAGTCTATTGCCTCATCACTACCACTCCTCCCTACTCTCCATGGTTGCTACACTGTTGCCATGGACTCCAAAGATGGGCTCTTTGTTACATGGTCCATGTGAATGTAACTTTGGAACCACTTTTGTGAAGACAATGGTAATACAGTTATTTCTCTTCAATTTAAGGTCATTTTGAGTGCCCCCCTTATAATTCATCTACCATAAGGAGTATATATCATGTGAGAAATATAGAGGTCTACAAATTAAAACAGGTACGTGAAAAGTAGATAACAGTAGACTTGAAATAAACTTAATTTTGTGCCAAAATGTATGTGATCATACTGGCTTTCAGTATTTGAGAATATCAATTCAGTATTTCTAAAATTCAGTTTGAATAGTTTTTAGGAGGTTTATAGTTGAACAGATTTTAATTTTTAATGACTAAAAATTTATTTTAACAAGCAGTTGTAATTTAACTTATGGTTTCACATATTATACTTAAGGGTAAAGAATATATGGTGAAATAAAATAAATATTTTAGGCATCCTGAGGCAAGAAGATTATGAGTTTGAAGTTAGCCTGGACTATAAGGTAGAATCTTATCCCTAAAGAAAAAAGAAAACAAAATTTTATAGTACTAAATTTTAGTATTAGATAAAAAAAAATAATAGTGTTAAATAGAAAACAATGAATGGGAAAGATGAAAGGGGATATGAGAAATTGTGAGAAAAATCAAAATACTGACTTTTCTGATGAACAGGGGGCTGAGTGGTTTTCACACATGGTGTCTCATATAATCTCTTTTGGGTTCGGTGAGGTAGTTCTCACTCTGCTTTCCCTGTTAAGAATACCAGTTCGAGGTGCAGCCAAACAAGGACCTGCCCAGGACCTCCCCAGTAGTCTGTGGTAGATCTGTCTCAGTACCCGTGTCCTGTTCGTCCCTAGAGCTGCAGTACATAATGTGTGCACAGGCCTGTCTTAGGATCAATTTGTACTGTTCTTTTGGATGCCGTACTATTCTAAATGCCACTTACCCCTTAACGCCAGCTGGATACTACTTTCCAAGCACCATTTCTCTAGTGTGGAGCCATCACCCTTCTTCAGTTCTTATTATTCATTCATTGACTGTTATATATGCATTATACTATATTTTCAATTTAGTCTCCCAAGTAGTTGTTTTCATAAAGTGCTGAAGAGTAAGTAAAATGTAGAGCATATTTTGTGTTTCCTTTATAAGCAACTTTCGGTACTAATTTATGTAGCAGGGGGAGGGTTTTTAGTTGGTACTGTGTGAATACCTTGGGGAAAAATTGATGGTAGTCCAGGAGTCCGTACACAAGGCGGCCTCTGCAAGCACTTTGCCACTTAGTACATTCTCATCTCCCAGTTGTTTCCTGTTAAGTCTTCTGGGTTTACTGTGTTAATTGTGTTGGAAATCTCATTAAATCCATTTTCTCTAGATCTTCACAATTATAATTTCCTTACCAGGGAAAAGGAACTGTGGTTATTATACATTTTAGGAATCTGGTGTGGCAGGCCTCAGCTGATTAGCAGATTACTGAAAGTGGCTATGCTGCCCTGCCTTTGCTACAGAAAACAGGATCATTTCTGAGGCACAGAAAAGGCTGCTTCTCTTTGTCTATATGAACAAAGAGCTTAATATTTGTTTTTTCCTTAAAGTGTCCTTAGGCTTTAAGGGATCAACACAGAAAGCGAGATCATCAGTCCACAAGAGTGGGTGTATGGCAGTGAAGACAAGGGAGGGATTGTTTTTGATTAGTCCATTTTTAAGAATTTTCTTTCTGTTTTTCTGTTCTTAAAGTTAAAGCAGCCTATAGATATATTCTTATCTCATGATTGGCCAAGAAGTATATATCATTATGGAAATAAGAAGCAGCTTCTTAAGACCAAATCTTTTTTCCGCCAAGAAGTGGAAAATAACACGCTAGGGAGCCCTGCCGCCTCCGAGCTGCTGGAGCACCTAAAGCCCGCATACTGGTTCTCTGCACACCTGCACGTGAAGTTTGCAGCTTTGATGCAGCATCAGGTAGGGTAGAACATGTCCCCTCTTACCTTATTGAACACCCACGGGCAAGTCATTGTGGGCACAGTGGTAAAACCAGAGAAACGCAATTCCTAGGAGTTGCTCACTCAGTACTCAGTGTGGGGAAGAAATGAGCAAGCAACTACAGAGCAGGGTGAGCATAATAGGAGAGGGCTAAGGTACGTGAGGGCACCCAGGCCGAACTGTGATGGGATGAGATTGGTCTAGTTTTGGAGAGGGAAAGTTTCCAAGGACTGCATGGCTGAGATGAATCTAGAGGTGCCAGGAGGGGCTAGAGTCTAGGAGTATTTTAATAGAGGGACCACCATATTCGAGGACTTTAAAGGTGTGAGAGCACAGTACACTTGGGGCACCAGCTCCTGTCCCTGAGGTATAGAGACAGATGCAACTGGAGTAGAATTAGAACTACTTCTAGAATAGGTCCATATTAGAAAGGGCCTTAGAAATATTTTCAAATAAAACTATGTTTCAGGAACATTATACCTCTAATGTAGAGAAGGGTTTGGTCCAGTAGCTGTGGAAAGCACTGCCTGTCACATCCACTCTAGAAAAACAGTGCCCGTTGGGTCATTAGACCACTGAGGTCTCCACAAGACTTGCAGAATCTCCAGCTGTTAACCCTGACCTTTCTAAATGGTTTTCCTATGGAATACTTCATGAGAAAACAAGAGTTTGGGTCTAAAACTCTAGAAGATGATGAGAGAGTTAAAGACTGATGGAACCAGGTGGTGGTTCTAGAAAGATTAATTGGCAGGTTTGTGTGTGGATTGGAGTGATATCAAATCAGAGGTAGGGTGCCACTTAGGCAAAGAACACAGAGAGTGAAGCAGATTCTAGAGATTTTGAAAGCAGACTAATAAGGATTTGTGAGAGGGACTGAGAACAGGTGCCTACCAGAGGTTTTCTTTTTTTTTTGGGGGGGGGGTGGATTTTGCTAGGGAAACTATTTAGAAAATGCAATGTTAATAGTTGGAGATTTCTTGATGTCTTTTACAGACTTTCTCAGAGTCTTTAATACATTAATGAGCACTTTCTAGAGAGGAATGTGATGTGTCAAGTTTCCCAAACTTCTTTCCTACTTTAGCAACATTTCTGAGATAGTTTGTATCTGCAGATACTCCCAAAGCACTCATCCAAAGCTGTGGTCTTATAGAAGGCAAAAACTACACCTTCCATTTGTGTGAGGCCACCCAGTGACCATGCTTGCTTGATGTCCAGACTTACCTGTACACCCACTCACCTTTCCACATCAGCTGCTTGCTTTTACTTGTTAAGGGCTCATGGTACTCTTGAGTTTTGTTTTGTTTTTTGTAAGACAGTGGGCGGTCTCACTGTGTAGATGAGGCTGGCCTTGAACACAGATCTGGCCGCCTCTGCCTTCTGGGTGCTGGGATTAGAGACTTGTGCCTCCATGCCCAGCCAACTCCTGAGCCTTTACTGAGTTGTCTTGTTTGCTGCTTTCCACCGCTCTGCCTTCTGTTGTCATCCTCGAGAGCATGCATCTCCGTATCACTGAGAAGCCGAATCCTTCTATCAGCTCGTCAGCCTCCTTTAACTTTGTGTTCTGTCAGTCCTTTCACCCACACCAAAATTCGCTTTTTCTTAAGCCTGTCTTGTCGCCAAGATCTCCCATAGTCTCTATGCCTCACTTCGTTCACCTCTGTCAGACTGATACTTGATCCTCAAGTATTGTTAGCCATCGCGAGCCTCCCATCTTTTCCCTGCATGTCCTTTCTCTGCATGTCCCTTCCTGTTTTCAGTCGTTTCTGTGCTGCTTCTTGTGACCTTCATACTTGTGGTTTCTCCCGGTTTCCTTTTGTTGTTTAACTTTTGAAAAAAAAATTAGTTTTATTGGGGTATATTTAAATAGCAAGATTAACACATCTTAAATATATAAGTTAGTAATTTTAAGTAAATGTCTAGAATTGTGTGAATATCACAGTCTAGTCTTTTTTGAGACAGGGTTTCTCTGTGTAGTCCTGGCTGTCCTATGACTTGCTTTGTAGACCAGGCCAGCCTTTTAATGCACAGAGATCTACCTGCCTCTGCCTCTGCCTCTGCCTCTGCCTCTGCCTCTGCCTCTGCCTCTGCCTCTGCCTCTGCCTCTGCCTCTGCCTCTGCCGTGCTGGGATTAAAGGCATGTGCCACCATCTGGCTCATAGACCAGTTTTATACCATGTCCATCATCTCTAGAATCTTTTGTTCCTATTTGTAAGCAACTTTGCATTCTTAGTTGTAGACAACCACTGATTTGAGTTGTGTTTCTTCTGAATAATTTGTGTAAAAAAAATCATAAAGTATAAGGTTTTAGCGACTAGTTTCTTTTTTTTTTTTTTTCATTTTTGTGAGTGACTCATGTAACATATCAGTATTTGACATCATCATTGCCAGTGTTTGTTTTTAATTTTGGAGGAAATGTCAGCCAGCAACAGTTAATGTTTTGCATACCATTAGACAAGTGGATGTCGACCTTTTCATCTTATTCTTTTCTGTTTCCTTTCTTGTTTGTTTCTTACTCATTTATTTAGTAGTCATTCTTTTGACACAGAATTGGGAGCACATGTAAGAAATTTTCAATGTATGAATTACTTGTGATGTTTTAACACTCTTAACTCATCGTTTATATCATCTAGGCCACGGATAAAGAACAAGCAGGCAAAGCAACCAAGTTTTTAGCCTTGGACAAGTGCTTACCACACAGAGACTTTCTTCAGGTAAGAAGAAAATGAGTCATTTTACAAAAGTTTTACTCTTCCAGTGATTTATGTATTTGGTTGGTTGGTTTGGTTTTTTTGAGACAGGGTATTTCTGTGGAGGCCTTGACTGGCCTGGAACTCATTCTGTAGAGCAGGCTTGCCTCAAACTCATAGAGGTCCTCCTGCCTCTGCCTCCCAAGTGCTAGGATTAAATCTTCCAGCAATTTTAAAGAAATAGTTTTTACTTCCAATTTATTTGTGCTATTTATAATTTATGTTTTCTGAGAAACATAAATGGTGTTGCTTATGTTAACATTTAAAATTAAATTGATTTAAAATTGTTAAACTGTTAAACATAAGTGAGTTGCCTAATGTTTCTGATTTTGTCCTGTAGGTGTTAGAAATAGAACATGACCCCAGTGCTCCTGAGTACCTAGAGTATGATGTTGAATGGCTTACTGTTCTCAGGGCTACTGATGACCTGATCAATGTGACCAGCGGCCTGTGGAACATGCCGGAAAACAATGGTCTGCATACAAGGTAGTTCTCTTTCGAGCTTGCCTTCTGCACTGCGTGTACACTTTTCCCTCTGATCTGTACCGTGTTCTGGTCCCTGAGGAGTTGGCCTCGGTCTGCACAAAGGAGGAGGGAGTGGTCTTTTGGGTTCTGAGCATTTGGCCAGCCTCCTGGCAAGTGCCTGCTTGACAACCTGACATTTGTGAGGAGGAGTAGTGGCCTGGTGTTGACTGCGGAACTTACACGCTGTGGCCCCAGCAGACACTGGCCATAGACTCAGCTTTGTACTCAAGGTTGGCTGACTGTTGCATTAGAGAAAGCTGTAAGTTTTTACCCATGGCTGACAAAAGAAAGGGCCTGTTAAGCATCATCCCAAGTAAGTTTATGAACATACAAGCATGCTTTAGACTAGAGTGCAGTGAAGATTTAGTTTACACACACAAATAATTGTTTTGTGGGATGAGTACATTTTTTTTCTTAGAGTTTTTTTTTTTTTTTTTTCTAAAGACTCTTTACTATAAGTTAATTATAATTTTACTATGTGGGAATTTTTTATATTTTTATTTATTTTTTTCTGGCTTTTGGTTTTTCGAGACAAGGTTTCTTTGTGTAGCTTTGGCTGTCCTGCACTTGCTTTGTAGACCAGGCTCACCTTGAACTCAGAGATCTGCCTGCCTCTGCCCACATGACTACTGGGATCACAGGAGTGCACCACCATGCTTGGCTTCTATTTTTATCCTATGTATATAGGTGTTGGTGTTTTGCCTGCATGAATGTCAGTGTACCATGTGTACGCCTGACACCTTTGGAGGCCAGAAGAGGGAGTCAGGTCCCGTAGAACTGGAGTTACAAATGGCCACGAGCCACCATGTGGATGCTGGGAATTGAGTCTTTATCCTGTGAGAGAGTAGCCAGTGTTTGTAACCACTGAGCCATCTCTGCAGCTCTTATGTAGAATTTTTAAAGTTTCTTTTTTCATCCTTGTATCTGTAGGCCACACTTAGGTTTTATTAATTACTATTTGAAGGTGATAACAAGAATAAACCAATTTTGCTCTGATTGTTATAGGTGGGATTATAGTGCAACTGAAGAAGCTATGAAAGAAGTAATGGAAAAATTGAACCATGACCCTAAAGTTCCCTGTAACTTCAGCATGACAGCTGCTTGTTATGATCCTAGTAAGCCACAGACACAAGTGCAGCTGGTTCACAGGATCAATCCACAGACTACTGAATTTTGTGCCCAGCTTGGTGTCACAGACATTAATGTCATGCTTCAGAGGGCCAAGGAAGAGCAGCCCCTACGTGGTGAATATGAACAGCAGGGTGACCTGGGGACCGATGACTCAGGAGAAGACCGGAGTGAATACAACACAGACACCTCTGCCCTGTCCTCCATTAATCCAGATGAAATCATGTTGGAGGAAGAAGAAGAGGAAGAAGAAGTTGTATGTGCTCACAGTGACACGCACACGCCTTCTGTAGAACCTTCTGACCAAGTGTCTGACCTTTCCACAAGCTTCTCCGACATCAGAAACTTGCCAGGTTCCATGTTTGTGTCTTCTGATGATGCATCCCCCTCTCCCGCTAGTGGGGAGGAGAGACCTGGTGAAACTGTGGAGTCTGGGGACGAGAAGGACTTAACCGAGTTTCCGCTGAAGAGGCTGAGTAATGAACATGAACCTGAGCAAAGAAAGAAGATAAAGAGGAGGAATCAAGCCATCTATGCTGCAGATGATGACGATGATGAGTAGGGCAGTGGGCTGGGCACAGTGATGTAGGTATGTGATTTCAAAACCCTACTTTTTGGGTTGAATTCCTGATTTATGACTGGACTTTGTAATAATGAAATGATAGAATTTTGGCTATATATCAGCTTTGTTTTTAGGTGTATGTTTGTATGTTTCAGATAAAAACTTATTAAAATTTCATATGAAATTTGATTGATGGCCATTTTTTAAGATTTCACTTCCATTTTTTTCAGCACTTACTACATGTGAACTTTGGGAAACACCTCTCTAAGAATGGAACTATGAAGATTTTTGTAAATGTTTTGATGCATAAATACCACTTAGTTGCTGAAATTAATACTCTATTGGCTTTGTATATTACATTTTAGCTGATTTTTTTTTTACGTAACTTTGGTAGCTATATTCAAGTTACTTGGCCATTGTCCAGTTTAATATTAATTACCACAAGATTGTATAAATACTGCCTCTCCTTCTGTATGAAGATTGATAAAGTATTTCAGAGATCCATGTGGAACAGCTCCACCTCTGTTGTCTCTAGTTAGGTGCCTGGGCTGCCGGGGAGATTGCCCCTGGATTTTGGAAATGGAGTCAGAGGATCCCAGGGTCCCCTTCTCATCATCCCATCAAAGTCCAAATCAGGCACTACAGAAGTCCTCCATTGGCTAGCTTCCATCTTGTCTGCATTTGTCTTCATAAAGCTTTGTGACTTTGAGGTTTTTGTTTCCTTCCATTTTTTTTAAATTTTATTTTTATTTAGCTGAGCTATCTGAAACTGAATTTTCCCTACTCACTTGAATTCTGTAAACTCACATTGTGATTTCCCCCAGAAAAGTCTCTTTAAACAGAGAAAAGAACATGTAAGGCTGAGACAATGTGGAGTTATTAAACAAGGAAAAGAACATGCATGGCTGGGACAATTTGGAGTTATTAAACTCCGCCAGAAGTTTTAAAGCAGGAAGTAGTTACATATAAGACAAATGCTAGAATTAATAAATGTTCTTTCTAAAAAGCAAACAAATAGTCTGGGCAGTGGTGCATGCCTTTAATTCCAGCACTCAGGGAGGCAGAGTCAGGTGGATCTCTGTGAGTTCAAGGCCAGCCTGGTTTACAAAGTGAGTCCAGGACAACCAAGGCTACACAGAAAAACAGAGAAACCCTGTCTCGAAAAACCTAAAAACAAACAAATAATGCTTTATCTTACTCAATCAAGAAAATATGCAAATATAGGCTGTGCCTGGTGACCCAAACTTTTAATCCCAACACTCATGAAACAGGCTGATCTGGTAACGCTGATCTACAAAATGAGTTGTAATCCAAGCTATGTCAGAGACATTGCCTCAAAAAAACAAAACAAGAAGAAAGAAAGATGCAAAAAAAAAAAAAAAAGTTATTTTGACTGTCACGCTGAGGTTTTGGGACGAATGAGACTGCCCAAGTTTACAAAACACCGGACAAAGCAGACACTTAATTCCAAAGTGACCACTGGACGCAGGACACACACACCCAGACCCAGGCAATATCCAGTACCTTAATTAAGCATGGCACTACTCCCTCCCCCCTTTCCTACAACAAGCCTCCAGCCCAGCTCTGAGACCCCCCTACTGTGAGACCCTGAACTCAGCTGGAGGCGACTAATCCCTGAATAAACCTGCCTTTTACCTTTAAATTCAGCTCAGTTGGATTTATTGAAGTGGCAATGAGAAGCCATTCACTTAGAACACTGTAAAAGCTCAGTAGAATTATGGCTGAAATCTCTAAGAAACAGAATTTATTGATGCCGATTGCGGTTGACATGGAGTAAGTACATTTCCATAAAACCTATCAGAAGATGATTCCCGTAAAATACCTGGGACTTTGTAACCCAGTGCTGCCTGTTATCAAAAACACCAACAGGAAGAGAGAAGTGGAATTTTTTAGTCATGTTCTATTTGGGTGGTGGGTAATCTGAGACCATAATGAGTTCATAGGTATAACCATGGTTTATCCCTAGGAGAAATAAACCATACTGTATCTCACCTCCGTAAGGAGGGAGCAAGCATCCCAGGACTTAGCCTCCCTCTTGCCGTCAGTCCCGTCTGTGAGATTCATGCAGTTGGTGCCTCCTTGTTGTCTGTGCTTCTCCCTTGTTACTGTATCTTGGAACAACCATGTTTGGACACTGAGTGGTTAGCTTTGGCAGGAGGTATCCTGAGTTCCTCCTGGAGCCACCTGGGCTTGGGGCTTAACTCAGAACCAGCAAACCATCCGCAGTACCATCCGCAGTACGTGCCTGCTGAGCTGTTCATGATGTGTACACGCACATTTCCCTTTATGAGTGTATGCCCTGTAGCATAGTCCAGTTTCGGGAGGAAACTACCTAGCTTTTAAATAATCTCTCCTGTGATGTAAACTGTTAGGAAAGATAGAAAAAAGAATAGCTTCTTTTTGTGAAGCAAGTGTATCAGTGGTCTAACCTAGATTATCTGAAAAAAGAAACAAAGTAACAAGCCTTGGGGCTGGAGAGATGGCTCAGCTGTTAAGAACGCAGGCTGCTCTCTTTTAGATCTCGGTTTTGAGTTCCAGCATCCACATTGGGGCTCACAGTTCCAGGGGATCTGACACCCTCTTCTGGCCTCCTTGGGAATCATTCACAAACATGGCCCACAGACAGACATGCAAACAAATGTGCCTGCCCCCACCCCCGAGCCCGTAAGAGGCAAATAGTCTGCTGCTGTGGACAGTCTAAAGGAGTTCCATACCCCACATCTGGGATTAAAACAAAAAACATGTTCACATAACATAATAGATCTTAAAGACACCAAAACTTCCACTACAAGCAATCACAACTGAGGACTCTAAGTAAATAGACCAAGGTACACTCTGTTGAAGCCTCTCCCCCTTCCCCACTAAGTAGCCCAGGCTGGCCTGGAATTTGAAATCTTCCTGCCTCTAGCCTCCCAAGCGCTGGGATTACAGCATGTGCCACCAAGAAGTGCCAGGTAAATTCTCTGTCACTGAGTAACAAATCCCTGGGATGCTGAGGGCACGTGTGGGGAGAGGGTAGAGGAGTTGGAGGTAGCAGATGAGGGTTCACAGGACTTTACCCTCCCTACCTGGGACAGACTGGCTACAAGTCACACGTCTTCACAGAAAAAGTTAATGCAAAGCCCATCGGGGAAGGTTGTCAAAGTCAACACCCCTGTCAAAAAGCAGCAGCTAGAGCTGCCTTAAGAGATCATGAAGGCTATTACGAATAAAGCTGCTACGAACATGGTTGGACAAATGTCCTTGTTGTGTACTTGAGCATATTTTGGATATATGCCTATGAGTGGTGTAGCTGGATCTTGAGGAAGCGCTATTCCTCGTTGTCTGAGAAAACGCCAGATTGATTTCCAAAGTGGTTGTACAAGTTGACATTCCCACCAGCAGTGGAGGAGGGTTCCCCTTTCTCCATATCCTCTCCAGCATGTGTTGTCACTTGAGTTTTTGATCATAGCCATTTTGATGGGTGTAAGGTGAAATCTCAGGGTTGTTTTGATTTGCATTTCCCTGATGACTAAGGACGCTGAGCATTTCTTCAAGTGTTTCTCTGCCATTCAGTATTCCTCTATTGAGAATTCTGTTTAGCTCTGTTCCCCATTTTTTTATTGGATTACTTGATTTGTTACTTTCTAACTTTCTGAGTTCTTTATATATTCTGGATATTAGACCTCTGTCACATATAAACAGATGTCCATCAACGGAGAAATGGATACAGGAATTGTGGAACATTTACACAATGGAATACTACTCAGCTATTAAAAACAAGGAAATCATGAAATTTGTAGGCAAATGGTGGGATCTAGAAAAGATCATCTTGAGTGAGGTATCACAGAAGCAGAAAGACACACACGGTATATACTCATTTATAAGTGGATACTAGACCTATAATATAGGATAAACATACTAAAATCTGTACACCTAAAGAAGATAAGCAAGAAGGAGGTCCCTGGGTAAAATGATCAATCCTCACTCAGAAAGACAAATGGGATGGGCACTGGAAGAAGGAGAAAACAGGTAGCAGGACAGGAGCCTACCACAGAGGGCCTCTGAAAGACTCTATCCAGCAGTGTATCAAAGCAAATGCTGAGACTCTTAACCAAACTTTGGACAGAGTGCAAGGAATCATATGAAAGAAGGGGGAGATAGTGGGACCTTGAGACGACATGAGCTCCACAAGGAGAGGAACAGAACCAAAATATCTGGGCACAGGGGTCTTTTCTGAGACTGATACTCCAATCAAGGGCCATTCATGGATATAACCTAGAACCCCTGCACAGATGTAGCCTATGGCAGCTCAGTCTCCAAGTGGGTACCCTAGTAAGGGGAACAGGGTTTGTCTCTGACATGAACTCAGTGGCTGGCTCTCTGACCACTCCCCCTGAGGGGAAAGCAGCCTTGCCAGGCCACAGAGGAGGACATTGCAGCCAGTCCTGATGAGACCTGATAAGCTAGGGTCAGATGGAAGGGGAGGAGGACCTCCCCTATCAGTGGACTTGGAGAGGAGGATGGGAGGAGATGAGGGAGGGACGATGGGATTGGGAGAGAATAAGGGAGGGGCTACAGCTGGGCTATAAAGTGAATAAATTGTAATTAATATAAAAAATTTAATTAAAAAAAGATGTTAGAGCTTAAGTATTCTTATCACACACATATAGACACAAATGCAAATTTTAACTATATAAAGTGATAGTGTTCAATTAGCTTAATTGTGCTGTTTATTTCACAAGGTATGAGCATGTTAAAATCATATTGTACACCTTAAATAAATTCACGTTTTCAAACACATATACGCACACACATATAAAGGTAAGAGCTACCTCTTCAGCTACATTTTCCCTTTAGAAATCTAAAATCCATTTATTTTAACTTTTAATGATTTTCATAAAAATGCATAACCACAGTTAAAATAAGTAAGAATGCATAAAGATATAAAATGAAAAAAATGAACATTTCCTCACTATATGTAATTTAATGCAAAATTAAATTTTGTTTCTTTATAAAATATTTAACTTATATAAGAACACATGAAATGTGTTTAAATTTTATTATAAATAATTCCATGATTTAAAAATAATAATGTTATTAATAAAAAATGTTATTTTTTTGAATTAGAATGTCCTATGGGGAAATGGCTGGTAAAATTTGGCAGATACAATAAAACATTAATAACT